TCTCTTCCCAAGCTAGCTTGGTTATTAGTTTGTGGCATTGGTGGGATTCAGATATGTGAACAACTGGTTCTCTATGTGGATGCTGCCTCCGGAAGTCCGTTCTGGGCCTGGGCAACAAAAAATTAGCTACCGGTTCTGCCGAAGTGGTGCAAACTGGCTGAATCCCACCACTGGTTATGGGCTTGGCAAAGCAATAGACTGCATTCTCGGTGAGCACAGTGAGAACACCAGGCAGATAAATCTTTGCATTGAGGCTTCCTGGGAATAATCTAGACATTATTTATAAAGGATTCCCCTAGGAATCTTGTGAATCTCTTTAAGCAGCCACAGCTACAGGCTTGCTCCTGGTGTTTTGCTAAGGACATCATCATTCACCTGAGGGACCATATTGTCATTAACAATACAGTGTCCTGTCTCCTCTGCTCTATGGCTTTCTCTAGCTCTACTCATTTCCCCATCCTAAAAGATGGAACTCAACTACCAGATACTGTCTGGGCAGGAAGAAAACAATCCATGTGTGGATCAAACTTCAGTGGGTTAAATACTTATTTATTTATTACTTTAAATTTATCTATCAAATTTGTACGCTGCCCATATCACTATCCAAAGTGACTATGGGCTGCTTATAGGGTCATAAAAAACTTAAATATACAAGCATTAAAATTAGCAACAATTAAATAAAGACTAGAAATGGTATGGGTTGGGCTTTTGTCTTCTCAATGACCTCCAGTATAGCATGTCTTCATCGGGACCACAGTCAATTAGCAGAGAAGGTTTAAGGCCCTTCCAGAAGGTCGGAAGGATGGAGAAAGATCTCACCTTTTGTGGCAAGATGCTCCAGAGGGCATCAGAGGAGCTGTGGTGGTACAGTGATTAGAATGCAGTATTACAGTTGACTTTGTCCACTGCCAGGAGTTCAGTCCTGACCAGCTCAGGGTTGACTCAGCCTTCCATCCTTTCGAGGTCGGTGAAATGAGGACCCAGATTGTTGGGGGCAATATGCTGATTCTGTAAACCACTTAGAGAGTGCTGTAAAAAGAACTATGAAGTGGTATATAAGCCTAAGTGCTATTGCTAGTGCTATTCCAAATATATAATACAAACTTTTTTAAAATTAGATTTAATATTAAACCCTGAGACAGACACATATATGCAATATTTTCATGTAGTATCAATATATTAAGCTGTCTTAATAGTCAGTATATTAACCTGTTATCATTGAGACGTTTATTAAATTATTAAACTTATTGTGCAAGACTGCCCACACCATGTGTTCTCTAGTTCCTTGGAAGATCTGCATGAAGTAATACCAGAGGTAATTGCCTGGATAGCTGAATTGGTTATCAGGCCATTGCTGTACCCTCACAGAAGTTTTGTATATACTTATGTGGATTGTGTGTATATATTTACTTCTCTTTTTCATATTCTCATCATATGCTAAATAAGTAATAATATTTTTTTAATTATGTTGTCTTTCTGTAGTTTAGCTATTTACATACTTTCATATCCATTCACAGCCTTGAGTTGCGTTCAACAGTGCAAGGGAACACAGATTACACATATTGGATGTATAGTATGTTGTGGGTTTGGAATTAAAGGCTCCCAAAAGCATGGAGCTAAACTATAACTGTTAACACCCAACAACGATTCATTTTTGTCCTTTTATGGTGCAGTAGCTTTATGGCTTAGATAAAGAGAATATTTCAAGTTGTATTAACTTGAAGTTTCCCTGACAGTTCCTGGAACATAAAGAGATAAAGTTATCAAGATGTCTAATGTAGGAACATGAGATTGGTTGTCAGAACAATTTAAAGAAAATTAAACTTTATTTTTTCTCCATACTCCACTGAGAGCTTTTGAGTCTTTGTTAGGCATACTAAGCTTTTAAATGAAGTCATGTCACTGTACAATATGCCTTTGTGTTTTATTACCTGATCTGATTGCTGGTGAGGAGCAGTTTCTTCCAATATTGCCCATCAAAGGAGGGATTAGGACTAGTCATTACAGAAGACACACTGTTGACATGATGTTTCCATAATTTATTGTACCACATTGAAATATATTCTCTATTTTTTTTGTAGCCCTCTTATGAGATCACTGATTTTCCTGCCACCAGAAGTCAGTGATGTGGAACAGAAATATAGAAAAACATCCAAAATAGGTTAAAAAAGTAAAGCTACCATCAAAGATACAAAATCCAAAGGCGTCTCTTCCATAAACACATATCCAGGGATATATAATCTTGAACTTCAGTTTGATTATTACTGCCATGCCTTTCCAGTCCAAACAGGGGTGGTGCTGAATACGTAAAATATTGGCTAAAGTTACTGATATTCGTCTGATGATCCCATGATTTACATCAAATTGTATTATTGGTAATATTTTGCTGAGAAAAAAAGGACAAGACTCTATCTGTTGTTGCTCCTCTTTCAATGTCTAATAAGGCTATTTGTTTTTCTTAGCCTAAGAAAGAGGAAGAGACAGAGAAAGGAAGGAAGGAAGGTTCAATTAGTATTTAAAACAAATCATTATCAGATCCTAGGAACATGAACCTGAAAGGAGTTGTTGTTGTGTTGTTTTGATAAAGACAAATAGGCAGGTTATTTTCCTTTTAAGTCTTTCCCAATTAACCAATCCTGCATGTTTGTTGGATGAGACCAAGAAACAAAACTATTGGGAGGAAAGGAACAATGAGAGGGATAATTGTCCCTGAGACTAAAGATGAAATAATGTTCCCGTAAAGTATCATTTTGGCTTAATGATGTGAGTATAATTATTTCTGATGTTCAGGCTATGAGTGATATTGATTAGGGAGATGAAATAGTACCCATGTTTTACAGAACTTCAAAAAGAGCTCTGGGAAGAATGCATTAAGGGGAGGAAAGTCATCTGAAATTAGCTAAAATATGGGTGAGGAGTAGATCTGGAATGCAGACCTCCAATTGGAAAGCAGAAATGAACCAGAGAATAATTGATGTACAGTACAGCTACTTTCATCATCAGCTCTAAGTTCTTATTCCAGATCCTTTTTATTGGCCTTTTAGTAGCCCTTGCTTTTAGGTGATCCTAGTAATGAAACTAAAGTCAAAATGTTACTGGAAACACTGCTTTAAGTAGGGATGCTTCCATTAGGCAAGGTAATGTTCAACACTCAAAGCAACCCTAGCAGATCAAGAAAACATGGACAGAGAAAAGTTCTAGCCTGACTTCTTTGCTAACCAAGATTATAAAGTTAAAGGTTTCCCCTATCCAGTCTTGTCCGACTGTAGGGAACGGTGCTTTATCTTTGTTTCTTAGTCAAGGGAGCCAGCATTGCCCAAATACATTTCTGTGTTCATGAGACTATATGCTGAGGCACATGAAACACTATTACTTTACCACCAAAGTGGTACCTATTTATCTACTTGCACTTGCATGCTTTTGAACTGCTAGATGAGCAGGAACTGCGACAAATAACGGGAGCTCACCCCATCATATAGAACTTGGGTCTCGAATGCAGGTTATCAGGTTTCCAGCTGACAAGCTCAGCATCTTTAGCCACTGTGTCATCATGTTCCCTACAACCAAGAATATATGTAGAGTGGTTAAATTTTAGCTATCATCACTACAATTCTTCCTTTCCTAGTCTGCTTTTGTGGATATCAATTCTTCCTATATTTCTGTTAAGCTTGCTCTGGGACATATTTGCTGTAGTTCTCTCTCCCACACACACACAAAATAACCCATAAACTATTTTAGCTTCCCAGATCCATTTTTGTCTGTTGGAACACCACAAGATTTGTTACAAGGATTTAGAAGTAAAACTACAATGTTTTGCATGTTTCGGTCAACTTAATACAAACTGGGGCATTAATGGTAAATTCAATTACCTCATTTTAAGCTCCCCTCAGTTCTAAATAGCCATTCTGATAAAATCATAAATCATAAATCATCCTGTTCTTGCAGGATAAAGTAGCTGAAAGAAACTTTAAAGTGCAACCACTATTCAGATTATCCAACCCTATTTTAAAACTAAAAAGGCTTCCATTTATGTTCAGAGTACAATTGGCTCATGTAGCTTGAAATTTAATTTTTGATTCTTATGGATAGTATTGTATTTCTCACAAAAATTCTTATTTAGATATACCAGCACAAGAATTTATTCAATATTATATTTATGATGTTTGATTAGGTCTCTGCTATTGATATTACTCATTTGTAAGTTTTAAAATATTTAAAATGTGTATGATGCTCCAAACCCTGATAATTCTAGGAAGCTTATAAAATGTAATAAAGCAATCATAATTATAAAAATAGCATTAAAAAAGAAATCATCAGTCATTAGATCAAATGATTAAAATACTAATGGCCTGGATAAAAGGACATATTTTGAGTCCCTCGAACCCCTGTAATAAGGTGAAATTGCTTCAGTTTGATTAGTAATATGTTTTTACAGATACAGTGCTACTGAAAGAATTTATGCCAAAATGATAGAAGTGATAGAACTGCTCCATTCAGTAATTTAAAATTGTTTACACTTATATATCTAGTTAAGTGATCTATATTCCTTTTGTTAAACAAGGTTTTACTGTAATATGTGCATTTTAATCTGTTTCATGTTCTTTCATACTGTTTACATTTTCAGAATATTGCACAGTTTTGATAACTTTCAAGTAATTGTCAGAGTCGCCGTGAGTGAGTAGGTAGCTATATAAATTTTCTAAAATAAATAAACAAAATATTAAATCACTGAATTATGTGGTAAATCAGAAAATTGCTAAATAAAAGAATACTTTCCCATTCTATTTTTCCTTAGATGTTGATGAATAAAGATGTCTTTTATTATAATGTACTACAGGTAATTAAAGTGTATTAAGAAAATAAAATAATAAAAAATGGACAAAATTCTTGTCAGTTTTGGAAATTCAGGTGGTAACTTTGGGTAGACAAAGTTGTATATGGTTTCTTAAAAACTTTGCAGATGGATCCAAAATATTTTTTTTTCTTTTTCTCTTAGCAGAAAGGAAAATTGTGACTTTGAATATTCAAACTCAGCCAACATATAAAGCAATATCCAGTGTTGTTGGTTATTTAAAAGGAGCCACAGTTCCTGGTAGGTTTATTTTTATCTCTCTATCTGCTAACCTCTGCAAGTCACTTGTCATATTGCTGAACAAGAACAGAATTTCATAACTTATTCTGGACAGTGTATTGCACTTAACCTTCAAACTATACACAACAGCCTATTATTTTTAGAATTTGTTCTATATAGTTACCCAGACTGACCATTTACACCTGTCTGAAAAATAATTATGGGAGTGAAATCCACACATTAAAGATACTAAGGCTGAAAAACACTGGTGTAGACATTATACATCTTCTTAGCACATTCCACATGATGTATTTTAGTTTACTGTTATTTAGTTTAACCATTCATATCTGAGTAAGATCTCTGGTAGGAGTCATATTTGCCAGAGAAGATACCTTATACTATAGACCTTTAGCAAACAGAAAGCAGGAGACTATGATCACCAGTTATTTCAACTCGCTTTAAATATAGTGAGCTATTTGAGTTACTTCCAGAAATATATGTCTATGGAGATTCTTAGTCATCCAGGTCATGGCTGTCCCAAAGCTGCTTTTTTCAAGAAGCAACTGGACTTTCTTGTTTTTCTTTAAAGACTTTTCACTTCTTATCACAGAAGCTTCTTCAGCTTTGACTGGATGGTGGGGAATGGAAGGATTTATACTCCTTGCAGACAGCAAAAGAATGCAAATGACCAGCTGTCTGCAAGGGGTATAAATCCTTCCATTCCCCACCATCCAGTCAGAGCTGAAGAAGCTTCTTGGATGAGAAGCGAAATGTCTTCAAAGAAAAACAAGAAAGTCCAGTTGCCTCCTGAAAAAGCACCTTTGGGATTCCAAAAATATAGTAATTATTGAAAACCAATCAAAACAAATCTAACCTCTTAAGACAGTTTACATCCATTTTAGTTGGTTGCAATAACTATTCAGTCTTATGTCTTTCCAGATAGGTTCATTGGATGATTCACTATAAAGCATTCTGCATTATAAATTATGTTGTAAGCTTGGGATTGCAAGCAAATAAGGTTGAGGTCTTTCAGATAAAAGTGACTCTTGAACCCAGCTGACTATTGTGGCAAACTATAGCTGTTACACAGCTGACAAGAATGGGAAAGGTAATGATACAATCTGTGTTTGGAAGGACTTTGGGTTGCATTGCTTCATTAATAAAAGCATTGGCTTGCTTTATATTTTTCAGATAGATATGTCATAGTTGGCAGCCACCACAGCAGTTTGCCTGGCTACAGTAGTGAGCAGTGGGCTCACGGCACAGCAGTAATGACTGCACTTATCCAAGCCTTGATGAGGAAGGTAAAGAAAGGTTGGAGGCCTGAGCGGACCATCATTTTCTGTTCATGGGGAGGAACCATGTTTGGCAAGATTGGTTCCTACGAATGGGCAGAGGTAAGAATCTTTACAGGTTTCTTTCTTCATACAATAGCAATAGTAATAGCACTTAGACTTATATACCGCTTCACAGTGCTTTACAGCCCTCTCTAAGCGGTTTACAGAGTCAGTCTATTGCCCCCAAAGATCTGGATCCTCATTTTATCGATCTCAGAAGGATGGAAGGCTGAGTCACCCTTGTGCCGGTGAGACTCGAACTGCCGAACTGCTGGCAGCCGGCAGTCAGCAGAAGTAGCCTGCAGTAATGCATTCTAACCACTGATCTAGAGTTGCCAATATCAAGGATAGGAATTATTATTTGATATGTCCTATGGATCTTCCTGGTCTCCTGTTTCTAAATTTTATTCTCTGAATGTGTTCTTTTCTAACTTCTCAGACATGTTTTCTAAACATGCAGTTGAGTCTAAGCTGCATTTCCTGTTTGCTTTATGTGTTCAGTGATTGTACCCAGAAGGATGAATGAGTAAGCAGTGGTATCTGTGAAGAAAAAAGAGAGGGCCATGGTATTTGAATATTCCCCAGATATATAGCTGTTATCAATTGCCTTTATGATTATCATCTAAATCAATATCACTATTTAATTAATTGAGGGATGATTCCAATGATTCTTGTTCTAGCCAAGAACTGAAGAGTCATCTTGGTATCTAAAAAGGTTAAATCTTGGCAGCTTTTTGCCTGGATGATTGAGTCTTCATTTACATATTGTTATAGTAACCCCTGCAGTCATTATAGTAAGAGTTACTACATTTTGCCTAACCAAATATTTATTTTGACTGAGGAAGTTACTTGGATAAGTAACAAAATGTCTCAGTTTTGATAAACTTTGATCCAGTTGCCATGATTTAGCCTTTTTAGATGCTTTTGGCCTGAATGAAGGAGTCTCCATTTACCTATAGCAAGGGTCTTCAAACTTGGCAACTTTAAGACTTGTGGACTTCAGCTCCCAGAATTCCTCAGCCAGCCCTGTCTTAAAGTTGCCAAGTCTTAAAGTTGCCAATTTTGAAGACCCCTGACCTATAGTCATGTTAGTGTCACTTAAAAATGTAAGTTGCTGTAAGTAGGGTCACCTTTTGCAAAATTAATGGTGTTCTTTATATAAGCAAAATCAATGGGGAGGCCAGATTCACTTAACAACTGTGTTACTAATTTAACCAACTGCAGTGATTCACTTAACAGCATGAGAAGAAAGGTCATAAAATGAAGTAAACATCTGTCTCCTTTAGCAACAGAAAGTTTGGGCTCAGTTGTGGTGATTAGTCAAGGACTACTTGTAATAAAAATAAGGTGTTTGATTAGTAATATATTATAGGCAGTTTTCTGGCCCTATCAATTTATTTAGCAGCAAGAGAAAATTAGCACCACCAAAATGAATAAAGATATTAAAACACGTGTAGATGAAAACTGATCATTTTAGAGCTATTATTTCATAACAATTCAGGTGATTAATCAGTATTTTTGGAGCATCCTCTTCTAATTTGTAGTCAATTAAAATATTCTTTAACAGCAAACAGATACTAAGTTGTGTCAACTGAATGTTGAATTTAGCAAAAGGAAATTATTTTCTAGATGCATCGTGGAATCCACTAAGACAGGGGTGTCAAACTCAATTTCATTGAGGGACGCATCAGCATTGCGGTTGCCCTCAGGGGGCTGGGTGGGTGTGGCTAGGGTGGGTGCGGCCTACTAGGTGGGCGTGGATGGAATGGGTGTGGCCAGCTCTACATCATTCGCGTCAAGGGTGCCTGTGGGGGCCTGGGCAGGAGTGGGACAGATCTGAGGGTCTCTGGCAGAAGGGGGTGGGACCAGGGCAAGTGCCAAGGCATGGTCCACTGGAGGAGCCTCACTGTTCCTCTCAGGCCATGCGGGGGGGCTGGATGGTGGTGTGGGCTGCCTGGAGCCCTGGGCAGCAGAGGTCCAATGCCCAGCCTGGCCCTTGAGCACCCGTGGCACCAAGCCCAGCCCCACTTCCTCAAGGCTGCTGCTCAAGGTTCTACTGGTTCCTCGCTGTTTCCAGACAGCCTTGTGGAGCTAAGACTGAAGGTGTTTCAGCATAGATGGCCACCACAAAATTGTACATTGGCTCCCGGCTGGCCTGGGCCAGGGCCAAGGCAGAGGGGGCCGTTCCCTCACTGTTTCCAGGATGGCTTCGCAGGCCACATGAAACCACTTTGCGGGCCATATGCAGCCCACATCTAGCCTTGTGTTTGACATGTCTGCACTAAGAGTACAAAAATGGTTAATGAGACAGTCTGTCAGTCAATCAGTGACTAGAGGGATCTGGCTATATAAGCCATAAGGATAATCGAGGTAAGGGACTAATTGGTACATGCCTGTTGGTCAGATCAAACAATAAAACTTCCAGGAGAAAAAAAGGAGATGGACAATATTAAAATATAAGTCAAATATATATCAGCCTGTTGGGTTTGAATAATGTAAGCAGAATAAAAGTAAATTCCATCTCTATTTTAAAGAAGCCAAGCAATTCAGTTTTAATGGACATTTATTGGTTCAATCTAGTAGCTTTGAGTCAATACTATATTTATTTATTGAATTCATATAGCCATCCATTTCACCAAAAGTGACTCTGAGTGGTGTACAACAAAGCTAAAACATTGAACAAATACATAAAACCATATGTTCGGAGGTTCAGAATTTACATATTAAAAGAAGATATAAACAGGGTCCCTTCCTTAATCCTCTCTTGCTTTTATGATGCAACATTCATAATAGACGCTGATAAAACAATCATTATTGGCAGACGTTTTGCAGAAATTAATCAGTTAATCATCTATATATCTTTTATATTTCCACAGACTAACCTAGTAATTTAGCCAAACTGTTTTTATTCCATGCACTAGTTTTTAAATTCAAAAGAATGTTCTGTTTCTCATTTTTTTTAAAAAAACACCCGAAGCTCTTTATCAAAATAATAAAGATAAAAGGAAGATAAAAGCAGACTAAAAAAAGAGTTTAAAAAGAATAAAAAAGAATTAAAAGCATTCCATTAGAAAATGCAAAGGAAAGTGGTTGCAGAGGGAAATAAAAAGATGGATCTTTAAAAGATGCCTGAAAGACATCAGCATTATAGGTGTCTTGTGTATCTCAGAGGACAGCTAATTCCACAAAACAGGAGAATTTTAGATGAAGTTTTTCTCCATGGCATAAACTAATATTAGGCAAACAGTATGCAAAACCAGGAACTCCTCTCAAAGTTTCTGAACTGCTGATGTAAGTAAATAATGAGTAAACAAGGGTTTTAAAGTATAAAGGGGGCAGGGTAGCTCACTGGATAAAGATGCTGAGCTTCTCAGCTGGAAATCTGATAGTTTGGGTTTGAGGCTCGAACACGATGCAACAAGGGAAACTCCTATTACTTGCCCCAACTCCTACTCACCTAGCAGTTCAAAAGCATGAAAATGTAAGTAGATAAATAGGTACCACTTTCAATGGGAAGGTAACAGTGTTCCATGTGCTTCGGTGTATAGCTGGCTACATGAACATGGAAATGTCTTTGGATAACACTGGCACCCTTGGCTAAGAAACAGGGATGAGTACTGCCCTCTAGAGTCAGACATGGCTGGACAGGGGAAAGTTTTACCTTTACCTTAAAGTAGGGGTGTCAAACTACCGGCCTGCTGGCTGGATGCGTCATCTGGAAGCCGCGCCCACCCCATTGCCGGCAATGGCAAAACTGTCCCGATACGTCTCGTAATGTCATGTGACATCGCAAGTTTGACATGTCTGCCTTAAAGTATAAAATCAGTGCTCGTATCAATCTTTTCATGTTTACTTAGTAAAAGGTTTGTCAACTGAAAATTAGTATACTTTTCTATTTCTCAGATTAACTGGGGGGAAAAAACCCTGAGATAGGACTATTTATCAAGCCCCAGATATTTGGAATTTTAGGAATACAGTGTTTTATTTTAAAAAATTCTCATAATATAGAAAATAAACTACAAATAAAGTTTGGGCACTTTATCAAGTTTGTGGAGTTCTAAAACAAAAGGAAAAGGAAAAAAGGTTAATTGTGAACATGCTGACAAAAACGTACTTGGCAACAAACGCGCGCGCGCGCACACACACACACACACACATACATATTAGGACATAAGAAAAAGGTATATAAAGAAACTTTAACCTTATTAAATTAAATAACCAAAGTTGTATAACTATCCATCTCACAAAAAGCAAATCAGGGCAGTTTAAAACAATCAAATAAAACCGCAAATATAAAAGTACCTTTATATAAAGATATAAAAATCCACATTAAAAGATGAATGTTGTAAGAAACAAATATAGACTACTGAGGCAAAGGAAATAAAAATGGCCCGTAAAGCAACAGAGCCATTTAAACATGTTTCCAGTTCCCTGGGAGCCCCAGGCCTGAGAACATCACCAGATCTTGAGGGACTTTCAAAATGTCAAAAGCAATGGAGCTAACCTAATCTTGGCGGGAAGAATGTTCCATAAGGCCAACCCATGGCAGAGAAGGCACATCTTCTGAAAGCCACCAAACTTATTTCTTTATCAAATTTATGTAATGAATGTATATACAAATGTAGGTCCCTAGTTGATTATCCACAGCATGCCTTCTCTGCCAGATCTAATGGGGTGGGTTGATGTAACTAGGAGAGGCAGGCTGATGTAACCTTAGATAGCCTGGTTCCATGTCATGAAGGACTTTAAAGGTTAAAACCAGCACCTTGAATTGGACCTAGAAATGAATTGGCAGCCAGTTCAGCTTATGGAGCACACATAACAGCCTGTACTGCTGCATTCTGGATACTCTTCTAGGCAATCCCAAGTAGAGCTCATTGCAATAGTCCAGTCTGGAGTGACTAGAGCATGAGTGACTATAAGTACAACTCAGTACATGACAAAGTGTGCAAAAGCTGTCCTAGCCATCACTTTTGCCTCCTCATCGAGCAGGAGTTGTGAGTCTAGGAGGACCCCAAGACTGAACACTCTCTGGCTGGGCAGTGTAATCCCATCCAGCACCAAAGATGGCATAGTTTTGAAACCAGAGGCCCCCAAAATCTGGAGCTATTCAATTTTACCAGGGATCAGTGGAAGCTTGTTGTTTCCCAACCAGATCGTCACAGCCTTGAAAGCATATAAGAAATTTATAAGGTAAAGACATTTACTATGGCATCACTTATATTGCCAGGGGCAGAAAAATATTTCATTAAATATATTACACTATATTTAATATATTAATTATATTAGATACCTCACCCCATGGTGACTGATGACTTTACTAGTGACTTATGCAGATATTAAAGAGGAGAAGAAAAGTGCCAAATCCTGTGGCACCCCACATAGTAGAGGACAAAGGTAGGACCTCTCCTCCCTAATCATCACTGACCGGAATCAACCCTGCAAGAAGATGATGAGCCAGCATAAAACTGTGCTGCTCACTTCCAATCCTCTGAGCTTATACAGAAGGATATCATGGTCCATGATATTGGAAGCCACTGGAAGGTTGGTAGCAAAAGGATAGATGCACTATTCCTATCCTGCCCATGCCAGAGGTCATCCAAAAGCATGACCAATGCTATTTTCATCCTATATCCAGGTCTGAATCCTGACTGAAAAGGATCCAGATAATCTGCTTCTTCCAAGGTTTCCCAAAGCTGTTTTTAAACCACTTTCTCCATCATTTTCCCCAAGGGAGGTGAGATACTGGATTAAAAATGATTTGGTTCTTGGTTCAGAGGTAAAGGAACATCCATCTTATTAAAAGAATTAACCACTACCAGAACTCACTCACACAACACTCCCAGTCCTCTTTGACAAGCCAATAGGGGCATGGATCAAAAGAGCAGGTAGCCAAGCTCACGGTATTGAGGAACCTGTCCATTTCTTCAGGTCCCAGAAGTTCAGAACATTCCCAGATAGTTGTGTGAGACTTCTTCCCAAGCATCTTCTTTGGACTTGTGATAAGAGCAGGATCCAAATGGGAATGAATTTGAGGAACTTCTTCCAACAGATGCTGTGCAAATTCCTCCACGCACCCCTGTAAGAGGTTGTCCATGCCCCTTTCTGCAAATTGGCACATGTCACCTGAAACAAGACTGTGGGGTAGCAAGCTGCAGATGCAAAAATGGTGAGAGGTACTAACAGTTCAACATCTTTTCCACGCTAATATAGGCCTTAATAGCAACTCTAACTGATGTTCAGTCAAGTTCGCCTTTTGTTGAACAGCAGTAATGGTCTAGACTCCAGATGTTCCTCTTCCCATTTCATCTTCCTCAATCCATTGGAAACCACAGGGAGTGATGGGATCCACACAAGAAGAGAGATCAGATAGGTGCAATCCAATCCAAAGGCTTCATTTGCCACCTTGTTCCAAGTGGCAACCAAGGCTTCAGTTGGACCATACCGCAGACCAACAGGGACATCCCATCTCATTTGGAAACCTCTCTGGATCCATCATTCACGAGAGGTACATCAATCTAATGGATCCAGTCTCCAGGCAGGAAGATATAAATCAAGGCCTGATCTGACAATGACAAAAGAATATCTTAGGAAACACAGTAGGTACATATTTTCATCGAGATTTAAAGAACAACTAAACTGGAACTGAATGCTTTTCTTTCCCTTTCGCCCTATGGGCAGGGATTCTTTTTTCTAAGTAGATACTTTATAAATTAATAACATCCCCTGTAATCACGAAAGACATATTTTCTGCTTAGCTTGCAAATTCTAATGGCAGGATTTTAAAGACCTGCCACCTACAATAAAGCTGGACTGCTCTGAAATTGAAGTTACCTTGGCAGTGTGCAGATATTCTTGGGCCTGAGTGTAAACAACATGAAAGCATTACCAAAGCTTTATTCTTGTAACTGAATTATAGGATTACAATAAGCTGTGAAAAATACGGAACGAGGGAACTGTTGCAACCAGGTTTCAAAAGGTTTCTTGCAATTGCCTGAGAGCAAAATTTCTTTAGTTCCACTTCAAATCATCCTTGCATCAAACGTAATTGCATTATACCCCTTTTGCTCAACGCAAAGATCCTCTTCATGGAACAAACACTTCATTACTAGGTAGGCAGTGGGAAATAATTGAAATATGCCTTTGTTTTCAAAAAGATAACAAAATGACAACATTGGAGAAACATTGTCACTCACATCTACAATATGGGTGCCTGGTTGGAAGCAATCAAGCCCTTTGTTTGCTAATTTTTATATTTAAAGTGTGATGTGGAACATTGTTTTTTCAAAAACACAAAACAAAACAGTCTTCCTATTATTTCAGAGGACGTAATGTTTTGATTCGCTGCTTAGAACTGTAGTCATTCTTAAATCCTTCTGGCCTCATTTTTCATTTTGTTCATTTGAGAAATAGAATTATAACCCCACAAGAGAGAAATTAAATAAAGACTTCCTTTCAAGTTCCTAAAATGATATTCTATAAAAATTGAATTAAACGTTACTTGGGGAATTGAAGTAGGTGGAAAAACATGACTCGTGTTCTCCCTTTCCTACATTTCAAAGGACTACAATAAGAATGCAGGTCTTAATTAGGATCTGACTTATTAATCACGTTTGTGTTTTAGGACTTCAGGACAGTTCTCCAGAGGAACGCTGTGGCATATGTGAATCTCCATGATCCAATAAGAGGCAAAGGCATTTTATACTCCATAGCATCTCCTTCTGTTCAGCAACTAGCAACTGAAATTACAAAGGTGAGTATAGTCTTGTATGATGTTTCTAATATGCAGTAGGCTTGATATGATAATTCAAATTTAATTGACATTATATAAGTCTTCAGGACAGTTCCAAAAGTAATGGGTGCAAATGATAAATGATTCATAAATTAGATATTTAAAAGCCTGGAATGCTATAAATTCCATGGTAAAATCAATATGCCATGATATTAAATAATTGAGTATCAGATCCTCAAGGTAATATTTCTTAGAGAAAACAGAGAAGAAAAAATCACTTCTGAAATCTGGAACTTTCAGAAAGGAACGACCCTAATAAGACAACAATTTTCTTCTTTGATTTAGGGCAGGGGTCTTCAAACTCGGCCCTTTATGACTTGTGGACTTTAACTCCCAGAATTCCTCAGCCAGGCATGCTGGCTGAGGAATTCTGGGAATTGAAGTCCATGAGTCATAAAAGGGCCGAGTTTGAAGACCCCTGATTTAGGGCAACAGGGAATTGCATAAGAAATAAAAGAGGGAAAAATTATTCTGTGTAATACCAATGAGAAGTGGAAATGGTAATGCCATCAGGGTTGTTGTACCCATCCATCATTTTTTTTTCTAAAACACAATGAAAAAAGACCTCAGTAGAAGCAGTTGCAAGATAACGATATGGAAACCATGCTGGATTGCTATAAAAAAAAAGATTTCTGCTCAACTATATTAATAGAAAAAGCAATAATCTATACCAAATTATATTGTTTGTTGGGGATGATAGAAAAATGTATTATTTGGAACTTAATAGAATAGGGGATATGGTGGATTGTCCTACATTTCTCACAAAGCTTATAGGAGAGGAGAAGCAAAGGACACATTTGTAAGAATGCCTGTACAAACATAGTAAATAGGAGTTCCGGTTATTTAATCTTGTACTGTCCTCTGGTCTACACAGGCTGATAGTCTCAGACAATTTTCTATTTTTTAAAGTATTGTTTCCAACCATGGCCACTTCCCGACATGGGAACTTCAAATCCCAGAATTTCCCAGCCACCATGGCCGTTGGAGAGAATTCTGGGAGCTGAAGTCCACTTGCATCTTTCTCCATGTTCCATTATATTGATATTTGAAGACATTTCTTTTCCAACAGGTTATTGCCATTTACAGTGTAATATTTTTTTAAAAAATAAATATTGCTTCTCTTTGGCTCTCCTCTCCTCTCCTTTCCTCTCCTCTTCTTTCTTTACTTTTTGTGGACTTGACTGGTGATTGACTGAACTAGTCCCTTCAGTTTTAGTTGTTTGCTACTGCCTTTCTCCTTGGTTGAGAAAAAAAATGAGTACGCTGGGTCATTTGGCTGGCTTTGTGGCTAATACAGGACTAGAATTTCTGGTCTCCCCATATTTGAATGTTAGCTAGATTCCTTTTTTAAAAAGAAAATCATAAAAATGCAAAAAAAAAATCATTAAAAATAAGCTGTAAGTAAAGACAGGGTAATAAAATCATAAATCTGTAACAATATTAGCACTGTATCTCTTGTTACTTAAAGGAAGGTTTAATAAGATATGTCAAATAAATAGAGAACTCAGATAAATATCTACCTATGTCCTGTTTCTGTTAACTGAGTTCCTTTATAATTATATTTTTTCAGCTTTGTTTTAAACATTTCCATTTGGAGGATGTCTGAAGCCTAGAGCATTCTTGTACTCTAGCTACTAGCACTATCTATAAAAAGAAATAAAATAGGACATTTACAGTAATCATCTGGAATAAACACCTGGCTATTCTCAAAAACCAAGTTATTTCATATCCTTCATGTAATCTTCATTTCTTTAATTAGTTACAACTAATATTGTGTCTTGGCACAGAAACAACTTAGAAGTACTTTTTTTTCTGGGCTTGCTAGAGGATTCTGACTGAAACCTTGAATAAACAAAGAAAGCAGATTTAAATATTTAGGTTGTGAAGCCAAATTGGAATTCAAACATTCTGAGATCTTTGTGAGCATGTGTGAACTCCGTTCAGCCATGCTAATTACGGCCCATTTTATGGGAGGGAGATTCTGCCAAGTTGTATTTCTGTGTCTGAGTGTTCTGTAAACGAAGGTGCCATTGTCAGCTTGCTGCATTAATGAATCACCATTTATTTGGCACCTTATAATGGAAAAGTCTATGTTGGCTGGGGAGGAAATTAAATCCTCTAAATAAGACCATTAATTCATTAGTCTCAAATTTACATTTCAGAAGCACAAAAGTTACTCTGACTGAGCCATTAATTTATATGCCAGTAGGGTTGGCTTTGGTAAAGCAAAAACAAGAAAGAATCTTGGGGAACTTTGACATCTTACTAATATATTGAAAAATAAACTTTGAAACAAACATTCAAGATCCACAGTTATAAAAAGAAAAGTTACTTTTTCCATTCATAAAACAAATGCTGCAGAGCTAGCCCGTAGGCTCTAGGCCAATTTACCTCAGCCAACTCACCATGGCCAACTTGCCACAGGACAGCTAAACACGGGGCAAGAGTCACGCTAATATTGAAGAAATGGGAGAATAGAATCATTAAAGAAAGGATGCTACAGAAGGGACAAAATGAAATGTGAATGACAAAAATTAAAATATTTTTAAATAATTAAATTGAACTGTTGAATTGTCCCATGGTGAGTTGGCCACAATGAGTTATCCCATTCCAAGCCCATCTGGTATGTAATATTTCCTTTCAGCTACAGTGTCCTTTATCCACCTGCACAAAAAACACAGGAGCTTTTAGTGTGTTCCATACAGCTTTCCCAAATGAAATCTCCAAATAATGTAACAGATTTTGTTTTATGCCAGATCACATGCACTGAGCTAATCTTGACTGGGCTTTCTGTGCATATGTGTAAGTGATCTGTGTTACTTCCTACTGGTAGTCTCAGTGCTTGATATTTTTCATAAATGATTGTGCTAATTAAAGTTGTGGCAATTAGATCTGGAAATATGTGTTTAAGGAATGCACAAAAACTGTAACATGTAGGTATGAACCTCATTTACCATATCATTGTCACAATTCATGATGATTCTTCAGTGTAGATCTGAATCCAAGTATATAAATTCAGAAATAGGAGTATGATTTGTACAACATAAACAAGGTGAAAACATCCATTTATTTGCTTGTTTGTTTGTGATATATATATATATATATATATATATATATATATATATATATATATATATATATATATATATATATATAT